ATCCAGAGCTCCCTGAAGGCCTGGATGGCCTGTTGTTTACATTCTCTGTCTGGGCTCGCGGTCAGTACTTCAACTAATTTCCTGCTGGCTTTCAGTAAGTTTGCACGGAGGAACTCCACCAGCTCCGCTTTAGCTTGGTGATAGCCGAAGGCAGCTTCTTGGCGTTCCCCTGAGCATCTCATTCGCCATATTACCATGAGTATTGCCAGTCGCATATATCCGAACAGATTTCGTTGGAATGGGGACCAGGCTGCAGGGTGGTTTCTTCGTTTTCCCAATAGGATGAGTGCTACATCCCAGTGAAACGCAGTGCTTGTGAGGGCATGCCACATCGCGTCCCACCATTGCCAAACCTTTATTGCCACAGGGCATGCTAGCAAACAGTGTTCCACATCAGCTCTGCGGCTTTCGGTATCGGGCCCGCATTGGGAGCAGATAGGAGACAGGACACCTGCTTGTTCCAAGCTAGATGTGGAGGTCACCCAATCTGGAGTCGGAAGGCAGCGGTGCGTAATTTGCCATTGGAGGGCTCTATGGGAGGTGGGCATTATGTGTGCATAGGTTGTCCACGGAATATGTCGCAATTTGTCGGCTTCTACCAGGGAATCCCTTTTCTATCTCTGTTGAATTATCTGAGTGGATGGGAGCAGGACATGGGCCCTCTTATAGCCCTCTTTCGCTGTGTATTGCCATATGGGGGTGGGGTTATGGCCCCCCCATTCCCATTCTTCCGGGTCGAAAGGAAGTGCGTATATCGGGATTGACATTTCGTAGGCATAGTAGCCTGTATCGTTTGTCCCCACCACTCTGATTCTAGTTAGCTCATCCTCGGTAATTGTGCACTCGTTCGGGACCCTTTTCATAGCTGTCCACCTCGTCCCCGACACGTCAGGTTCATATGCATGCGTTGACACACCCACCTGTGTAATGTGGCCCACCCTATAAATGGTCATGGGGATGGGGTTTGTGCTGGCCCGGATGACCCAATCTAGGCTGCACAACGTTGGTCCATCCCGTAGGGCTGCCACCCATGGGGGCGGGATCGCCTCTCGAAGTTGTTTAAGCTTGTCATGAATATTCCGTACCGCTTTTAGCGTTGGCTGCAGTTGCTGTGCAGTCTTCCACATCCTTGTTTGGCAATCCCACAGATCCCCAATTGTGAATATGCCTTTTCTTACGCATGTGAGCCAGTGGGAGTCGGTGGACAGGGCGAAGGAGTGGCCAGCATTGTCATATATGTGCGGGTTCCCGAACAGTGGTTGTCGCAAAATTTCTTATGTCCTGTTTGGGGGGGACTTTTGGGTCGGGCCCATCTTCCTCCACAGGCCCAGCATTGATGTCCACAGCGGGTAGTATTTGAGGTCCCATCTGACGCTGTTACGAGCGGAGCCATCTCTCGTATGTCTCAGAGGGCTTGGTAAAGACCAAACCTTATTTGTCAGCCAGCTCAGGGGGTGAATCGGGCGATGGGGGGGGGTGGGGGGTGCAAGGTTAGCCAGCTGAATGTAAGCGAGAGGGAGCCATGGGAGGTCAATAGTGAGCTTTCTATCATGTGTGGCATGGTGGGACGGAGCTCTGCCGTTGATGTATTGCGAATCTAATGGGTCGGAAATACAGGAGATAACCTACTAGATTTGGTCATTTTGTAGATTTTTTATTTGACGTAAAATCCATTTTGTAGTATGCTTTGGCCCTTTCCGTTTGGGCGGGAAACCATTTTAAGTTGAGAAAACTACCCTACCCCCCCCAGGGTAGATTCCTCAACTTATGTGCCTTTCTTTTTTTTGTTTTTTTAGACATCATTACATCCTGAAACGGCGTTATTTTCGGGTGAAGACGGTAGCGGACCACAATGGCTAGCGGCGGCAGTCACAAAAGAAAAAGGTGTGCCGCTGGCGGTTCGGCAAAGCTTGGCGCGCAGTGGAGGGCCTCCAAACCTGGGTGTACTGGTGGTTTAACAGCAAGCAGCGGATGACCTTACCTCCTCTGCAGACATGACGCAGTGTTCAGCAGGGGAGCCATGTCATACCTACCGGTTGATGACATCCAGCCTACCCCTGTGGACATGGTTGCGGTATCCATTCACGTACTCAATGAATTTGAGAGACATGAGGAGGGAGACCTTCTGTGGGGACCGTAACACTCCATCTGCATTGAATAACCCATGTAGACACGGCCACATCGTTTTCTATCTTTCTTTTACTTCTTTTAGACCACCACTACCTCCGAGCCTCTTTCCCTGATGCGCGAATTCCTCTGGGTGCCCAAAAGGAACATGAGCCAATGAGTCAACGTTTGCTTTTGTTTCAGTGTGGGTTTCTAGGCAAGGAAGTTAAAAAGTGAAAAATAAAGTAGTGTTTGCTTTTCTTTTTGGTTGGCGTTGCTGCAAGCCGTTTTGGTCTCGATGACCCTGCTCATCCAAAGAATAAGGATGTAAACCAACTCGTCGGTCCCTGTTGCCTGAGACAGGTACTGGTGGTTTAGAGGGGAACCCGCTAGCATCATTGTGGCCATCTGATGTTATTAAGGTTCCACGTTTCAAACTCATGATCTGTTAATCCACAGTTACTTGTGTTTACGATTCAGACACATAGGCTGGGTGTAACACACCCCTCGTTATTCCAAACACAAAGGCTAATTGGAGGTGACCCTCAGCTAAAAGGTATTCATATTTATACCACCAGTACCTAGCGGTTGTTGAGGCCCGACCCGCTTCTTTCCCTGCACGCCAATGTCTGCCGACCCTCCGAGTTTTCATTTTGTTTGGGTTCCCGCTGGTACCCAGTTCCACTTCCTATACTTCATTTTTTTTCTCATTTTTCATCTGAAAGTCCTGTCGGGCCGTGCCTGCCGTCCGCACTACCGGTTTTCACGCTATGTCTGTTAGTGTTTTTTGTTTTTTCCTTTCGGTTTTGTGTTTTGTTGTTTTTCGCAGCCCGTCCTTCTCCCGCCCGCTGCAGGCGAGGTCGATGTTGCCGTTTCCTCCTTCGTGGCCGCAGGCATGGCATCTCCAGCACATGCGTCTGTGACGCAGCACGCGCGCGCGCCGTCCTCCGGCGCCCTCCTATCACCT